GAGAGAGAGAGAGAGAGAGAGAGAGAGAGAGAAGTTAAAGTGTAATTATTATTTTAGCACATATTTAGGCTTCTATTATGAGAGAAGGGAATGGTATGTGTAAATACCTGAGCATATAAGCCATGGATTCGGTGACGTAATGCTTAAGAGTCATGCGCGCGATCTTCTCCTGAATATCACCAAAAGTGGACAACTTTTGACCGAATTGGGTTCGGGTGTTGGCGTGTTCTGTGGCCTTCTCTATACACGTCCGCATTGAACCTGTAGGTCATCGACGAGACAGTTATGTATTGATCAGTAATTTAACAAATTATTGTACCAATCGGCCGCAAAGTAGGCACTGGTCTGTCTGACTAACCTGCGAGTGCGCCGGCCATACCGAACCGGCCATTGTTCAGTATATTCATGGCCACTTTAAAGCCGCCGCCCACCTGTCCCAACACGTTCTCCACGGGAATCATCACATTGTCGAAGAATACTTCGGTAGTGTTTGAGGCCATTATACCCATCTTCTTGTTGGGCGGCCCTGAGGTCAGGCCCGTACCCCTCTCGACCACAAACGCTGTCACTTTGTCTTTGCCGCCGTCCGCTGCGGGTGTTTTGGCGAATACTGTGAATATGTCGGCAATGCCTCCGTTCGAGATCCAGATCTTCGAGCCGTTCATTACAAAGTGTTTGCCGTCGGCTGAAAGGACGGCCTTTGTTTGGATACCACTCGCGTCCGAACCTAACCGTGTAATCGATCAAAGTGTTAAAAATCATGTAATTTGGGCCAAAAAATAAGCGGTCACTTACCGGCCGACGGCTCCGTTAAACAAAAACAGGCAATCTTTTTGCCGGCGGCCAAGTCTGGCAACCATTTCTTCTTCTGGGCGTCGGTGCCGTACAGTAGTATACCCTTAAACCCGATGGACTGGTGGGCGCCCAACGCGACACCCAAACTGAGGTCATAGCGACCCATGATTTCGCCCAAACGGCCGTATTGTGTGTTATTGAAACCGATGCCGCCGTACTCTGGGGGCACTTGTATGCCAAACGAGCCCATCTCCTTCAACATTGTCCACAGTTTCTCGTCGTACGCGTGATTCTCCTCAAACCTCAGGGCGTCCTCCGGTTTCCACGACTTAGTCATGGGCTCCGTCACCATCTCTACCATTTGGATCTCTTCGGCGTCGAGCACTTGCGGGTATGGGAACTGTTGGATCACTTTGCCTTCGCCGCAGAACAGGTTCATCACAAATGATTGGGTGGTCTCAGCCGCCCGGCGCTCGCGTTTGGCCTTAGGGTCGCCATCGGCGGCCACTTTCGCCGCATTGGACTGATTTCTGGGCGATAAGCGGGGGTTAGAAATCAATTGGGATTTTTAAATGTTAGATAAGTGGGCGGTTATGAGGGAATGAATGGCCGGGGGTGTAAGGGGTGGGGTATAAAACCCCGTATGTATTGTGTGTATAATGTATGTAAATGTGTGGTAATGAATGTCATACTGTTTGAAAAATCTTTGAATCACTTCCCGAACGCTATAATGTCTTTGAATAGTCACCAAAAACACATCCGTGTAATCGGGTGTTCATTATATCCAATATTTAGTGTATTTTCCGATTATTAGTGTATTGTTTTCGTTATTTAGTGTATGTTTTTTCGGGGTTTGGTTTTTACGGTCACATAAAAAGTGGACAAAAATCGACACAAAAAACATTTACGAAGAGAGAGACAGAAAGAGAGAAAGAAAAGACAATATGGTTAACATACAGATAGTGTACAACAAACCGCAATAGAGTGAACACATTAAACAAACAGTGTATTTTTACAAATAGTGTACTCGTTTATAGTAAACCTGTGGACAACCTATTCTCGGAAAGTGTTTTAAAAGTTACTAAATTTAATTCATAAATACACTAAAGTGTGTAAAATTATATCCCTTGTTATCGGGCCATACGGTGTGTGTTTCGGGTGAGTGTTGTTCACTATAACGAGTGTACACTATATGTTAATTGAGATTTAAATGTAATTAAATATAAATACACTAAAGTGTGTAAAATTATATCCCTTGTTATCGGGCCATACGGTGTGTGTTTCGGGTGAGTGTTGTTCACTATAACGAGTGTACACTATATGTTAATTGAGATTTAAATGTAATTAAATACCGGATAAACGTCTGAAAAGTGTTGACATTTTGCCAATTATTTCGTCGATATATTTGTTGTAAACTTTTGCTTAATTTCAATGAATTCATCGCTTTATTAAAACACTGTATTTAATTATTATTAACTAATAATAACTATTACTATTACACAAACAAATTACTGGTAATTTAAAAAAAATTAGTGGTAAACAAAAAGTGAGTTTTTAGACCAAATATACTGTAAATTTAAACACAAGTATATATTTTATTAAACCGTTAATTATTGCTATTATTTATTAATTAAATTTAGTTATTATTAGTTAATAAACTTTAATTAATGTCAATAAATAAATATTATTTGCATTTAAAGTGTATTTAAAACAATAAATATTGAATTTAAAAGTGTTTTCAAATGCGATGACAAATATACCCAATACTACAGCCAATACAGTCGATACTCGTTAATGAGTGCAATCAATATAACGCATATATTAATATGTAAATTGTTTATAAAA